TTGAACTCAGGAGGCGGAGGTTGCAGTGAGCTGAGATTGTGCCATTGCACTCCAGCCTGGGCGACATAGTGAGGCTCTGTTCTCCCCCCCACCCAAAAAAAATAGTCACTTTCATACGAATTCTGTATTATTTTTCCTAAAGGGAGTCCTTAAAATTGGATCTGCCTTGCTGTTTTTATTTTCTTTTGAGATGGGATCTTGCTCTATTGCCCAGGCTGGAGTGCAATGGTGTGATTATGGTTCACTGCAGCCTCCACCTCCTGGACCCAAGTGATCCTCCCACCTCAGCCTCCTGAGCAGCTGAGAGTACAGGCACATGCCCAGCTGTTTTATTTATTTATTTATTTTTTGAGATGGAGTCTCGCTCTGTCACCCAGGCTGGAGTACAGTGGCGCGATCTCAGCTCACTGCAAGCTCCACCTCCTGGGTTCATGCCATTCTCCTGCCTCAGCCTCCTGAGTAGCTGGGATTACAGGCACCCACCACCACGCCCAGCTAGTTTTTTGTATTTTTAGTAGAGATGGGGTTTGACCATGTTAGCCAGGATGGTCTCAAACTCCTGACTTCGTGATCCACCTGCCTCAACCTCCCAAAGTGTAATTCATTTTATTATTTGTAGAGATGAGGTCTCACTATGTTGCCCAGACTGGCCTTGAACTCCTGGGCTCACGAAATCCTCCTGTCTTGGCCTCCCAAAGTGTTGGGATTACAGGCGTGAGCCACTACACCTGGCCCATATGCCTCACTCTTATTCTTTACAATCCCCTCTTCTCACAGCAGCCAGAACACCTCACTAAAGCAGCATCTAACACCCTTCTGTGCATAGCCCTCTGTGCATAGCCCTCTGTGCATAGCCCTCTGTGCATAGCCCTCTGTGGCTCCCCGTTGCTCTCCGGGACAACGCCAAGTCCCTCACCCTGGCCCTGTGTGATCCCACCCCAACCCACCCCTGAGACAACATCTCCCACCACTGCACCCCTCACCCACTCTGCTGCAGCGGCACTGACCCCTCCTCAGTCCCTCAGTCCACTCTGGAGCCTTGAAACCTGCCTGGGCTTCAATACCACCCCCTTGGCCTGGGAATGCCTGTCTTCTCACCTGGGTTACTCCAAATGCTTCCAAACTATTCTGAAAACAGCCACGAGAGGACTCCTCTCAAGGTGTACATCAGCTTCTGTCATGTCCTCGTGCGAAGCCCTCCACTGGCTCCCCTCAGGGCAATGCAATCCAAAGCCTAGCCCAGCGCTCCAGGCCCTGCCACTCCACCCTCTCGGGCTCTGTCACCCAGGCTGGAGTGCAGTGGTGCGATCTGGGCTCACTGCAACCTTCGCTCCTGGGTTCAAGCAATTCTCTGCCTCAGCCTCCCAAGTAGCTGGGATTACAGGCACCCGCCACCACGCCTGGCTAATTTTGGTATCTTTAGTAGAGACGGGGTTTCACCATCTTGGCCAGGCTGGTCTTGAATTCCTGACCTCGTGATCCACACACCTCAGCCTCCCAAAGTGCTGTGTGCCACTGTGCCCTGCTCTACCACCTTCCTAAATCCCCTGGCCTGTTCCTGCCACAAGGCCCTTGCTGAGCTGGGAAGTTCTTCCCTCCGCTGTTTGCTTGGTTGTCCCCTGACTCTGTTCAGGTCTCTGCTCCAATGCCCCCTCCTCACAGGAGCCCTCCGTGGACGGCAGCTTCTGAGATGTCCCCAGGATCCCCACCTCCTGGGATCCATGCCCTCCCCTCGGGTGGGTGGGACCTGGGGACCTCTCCTCAGCGATAGACTGTGACCAAAACAATAGGATGTCACTTTCAGCATTGAGACAAAAGACGGCAGCAGCGCGGGCTTGCTTCTCCTCCACCCCTGTCCCTGGCCGGCTCTGAGGAAAGCCAGCTGCCACCCTGTAGGGCTGCCCTGCAGGAGGCCCAAGTGGCAAGGAAGAAGGGAGGCCTGGGCCTTAAGATGACTCCACAGCCTCGGTGACACCTTGACAGCAGCCCTGAGACATAGGACCTGGCTCAGCAGCACCCGGATCCCTGACCCACAGAAAGAGCAAGACGATCGATGTCTGTTGTTTTAAACTCTTCAAGTTTGGGGGTAATTGTGACGCAGCTGTAGATAACAAATACACCTTCTGTCACTCCTGCCCGCCCCACCCACCCCCCGTCGTCACTCTGTCCCCTGACCCGGCTTTAATTTTGTTTGTTTGTTTGTTTTGAGACAGAGTCTCACTCTGATGTCCGGCTGAAGTGCAGTGGCATGATCTCAGTTCACTACAACCTCCGCCTCCCGGGTTCAAGCGATTCTCCTGCCTCAGCCTCCCGAGTAGCTGGGATTACAGGCATGCGCCACCACACCCAGCTAATTTTGTATTTTTAGTAGATCCGAGGTTTCTCCATGTTGGTCAGGCTGGTCTCGAACTCCTGGCCTCAAGCGATCCACCCGCCTCAGCTTCCCGAAATGCTGGGATTACAGGCTTGAGCTACTACGCCCAGCCTCCGGCTTTACTTTTCTTTGCACATTTTGTGGAGGGGAACCTCCCTTACTCCTCCCAGCATCCCCAATGCCAGCCTAATGCCTGGCTCCACGCAGCTACTCAGTGATGACTTACTGAATGAATGAATGGGTGAAGAAATGCAAGGCCTCAGAAAGAAAATGCCAGAGCTCAGAAAAGCCAGAAGTAGGGGGCTTAGGACGGGGAGACCAGCTTACCCCAATCCCAGCCGCCCGGGGGTCACTACCCACTTTACGCAGGGCCTAGGGACACTGGTCCCCAACCTCTTCAGCACGATGTTGCCCTGACCCTAGGATCTTGGTCCTGGAGGTCAGCGCCCAGGGGTCAGGCTCTTAGGGTCCCCATGAGGTACTGGTCCCAGCCTCATGCTTTGCCCAGACCACACAATTTGAATTGTCCTATGCCTGCTGGACTTCAGGCCTATTTTTCTCCATTTGGTGTGGAGATTTGCTAAATGCCTCATTTAGAGTGAGCTCATTTTATGCCCTTGTGAGTATTTTCACGAAAATATTTCGATAAGAAAAGAATGCTATTCCAGCCCACGTGTCCTGATTTTTGTTTGGAAAACAATCCCTGTGCCCATAAAAAGGAAAGGACTGCTGAGTCCAGTCCCCTCCTGGTCCTGTCCCTAATGGGGCCCAGGCTGTGCCAGCGATCGAGAGGCTGAAGCACATTCCAGCAGAAACACTGGCCCCTGCTTGGAACCCAGAGCCCAGTCTGGGTCCGGCGAGGGCTGGCCCTGTGCCCACCTAGCTGAGCCATTTCCTCCCAGACTGGGGCACATTTCCTGCCCGGAGGGAACAGAGCGCATTCCCAGGCCGGGTGGACTGGGTCCTGTATTGGGGGAGGGGATTCCAGAGGCATTTCCCCGACCCCAGCCACCACACCGTGGGATAAGAGGCCTGTCCTGGTGGTAGGGCTAGGAGCACGGTTCAAAGGGTGGGCTGGAGCTGTCCAAGGAGTGGCCATTCTTGGGGGAATGAGCTGAAACCACCCGGCCCAGCCTTGGGTGCAGCCTGCTCTGTATCCCAGGCGCGCTGAGCGTAGAGCGTTAAGGATCCTTGGGTCACCCCTGCCTGTCCCAAGCAGCAGTCTTCGGGTGAATGTGGTGCCTTTGTCAAGAGGGAGGGACCCATCAGAGCCTGGAATCCTCAAGGTGCCCTCTCCAGGCCTCCCCTCCTCCCTAATGCCTTCCTGGCCACCCCCACACCTCTCAAACCTCCGCCAGAAAGACCACTGGCTGGGAGGCTCCTTTGCCCTGTGGGGCTTCCCCTAGGAAAGGGCCCTGAGGTGCAGCCCTTGATCCCCATAGAATCAAAGGGCCCTGGGGACTGGGGCTGGGCTCCCTTGCGCCAAGGTGGCTGCAACCACATTCCAGAGCCTGCCAGTAATGGAGCCATATTTCTCATCTCTGTTAAACAGTTTCCCTGGCCCCAGATTTTCAACAAAGAGAGGGTAGCAGGCAGCATTCAAAGCACTTGAGTCTGGGGGCCAGGCCACCTCGATTCAAATCCTAGCTTTGCTACTTAATGCCTGTGCGCCCTTGAGCAAGTCACTTAACCTTGGTGAGCCTCAGTTTCTGACTCCGTAAAAAGGGATAACAGGGCCTGCCTCTTGGGGCTGATGTCAAAAAGAAATGAAACAGGGAAAGTACCCGGCACATGGCAGTGGTCATTCTTCTGCCAGGCTCAGAGAGGGGCAGTGGCTTGTCCAAGATCACACAGAGGGTAGGCAGAGGAGCTGGTACCCAACCCTTTGGCCTTCCTGAGCTGGGCCCTGAACGGGCTGAGATGGGAAGGATGCTCATGGCCTTCAAGAAGTCAGGGTTGGGGCTGGGGACCACAGAGCACCCAGCAGAGGCCTGGTCAGCATTGCGCGTCCTTCAGCTGTTTCCCAGCCTGGGATGGGAGAGGACATGGCTGCTATCCACCCAAGACTGTAGGTGGGTGCCAGACCAAGTGTCCATGCCCGCCGTCCCCCTCACCTCCTCGCCACTCTACCCGGTTCTCTAGCCAGAATGGTTTTTCTCAGTCTGCAAGGAGCCATGTCCCCCAGGGGACCCAGCCCAGGCCAGCCTGAGGCACATATCCCAGGACCTGTTAGAAGAGCTGTGTCGCCTCAGAAAAGCCTCTTTCTCTCTCTCTGTGTTTGTGATTATTCTTTTTTGTTGTTGTTTTGTTTCTGAGACAGAGTCTTGCTGTGTTGCCCAGGCTGGAGTGCGGTGGCACGATCTCGGCTCACTGCAACCTCCGCCTCCCGGGTTCAAGCAGTTCTCCTGACTCAGCCTCCTCAGTAGCTAGGATTACAGGCAGAGCCACCATGCCCAGCTAATTTTTGTATTTTTGGTAGAGACAGGGTTTCGCCATCTTGGCCAGGCTGGTCTTAAACCCCTGATCTTAGGTGATCCGCCGGCCTTAGCCTCCTAAAGTATAGGGATTACAGGCACGAGCCACCACGCCCGGCCTCTGTGTGTTCGTGATTCTAAGCACAGGTGGAGAAAGTCATCGTCTTTATTGTTCATGGAGAAGGGAAGGGAGACCAGTAAAGGGGGAGCCCTCCTGAGGATGCACCCCCCGCCCCTGCCCAGGAAGGCAGGTCTGAGGGGCTGCATCACTGCCCACCCTGAGAAAAAGAGGGTTCAACCAGGGGCCCCCAGGTGTCCCCTCTCCAGAGGCTCCCATCGCCAAATCCTGCCTTCCCTTCTCAGGGCTCCTAGGGCCTGCGTTGAGCTCCGGGCAGGGGGCCAGCCCTGCCACTCTGCCTCCAGGCATCGCCCTGGGGTCAAGGCCTCGAAGGTCAGGCTGGTGGGCTTGAGACAGACTCCAGATCCTCCCCGAGGCAGGTCAGGAGGGGGCCGAGCTCTGGGACTGGGGTGCCGAGGGCAGGGGCTGGCTTGGTGTTGACACTGGAGGCCTCTGGGATGGAAAATCCTGAGGAAAGGCATTGAGAATGACACCACCCATTCACCCATCCCCCTGGGGGCCTCGGGCCTCTAGTGACCCGGGCACTTCCTCCCACTTGGGCCTCTGGGTTGCTGCTGGAGAGGGCTGTGGACAGGGTGGAGGGTGCTAGTGACCTGGAGGATAGCCCTGGCCTGGTGACAGAGGGTGGGAGAGGTGATTCCAGCTCCCTCTGCCCCTGACCCCCAACAGAGGTCACCGTGGCTCTGTCTTTGTGTTTGGAGACAGAGTCTCACTCTGTTGTCCGGGCTGGAGTGCAGTGGCACGATCTTGGCTCACTGCAACCTCTGCCTCCTGGGTTCAAGGGATTCTCAGGCCTCAGCCTCCTGAGTATTTGGGATTACAGGTGTGAACGACCGTGCCCAGCTGGCTCTTCTTAAACTTGAGCCTCTTGAGGCACCTGGGCTGTTTGAAGCAGGGATTGTCTGTGGGACACGTTGGATGGGGGTGCCCACCTGTATCTGGCAGAGGTCAAGCAGGGTGCGGACGCCCGCCAGACACCAGAGCTCGCCCAGCAGGGAGATGAGGATGCCCAGCAGGTCCAGCCAGCGGCCCACAGTCAGCAGCAGCACGAAGAGGCCGCCCATGCGCACCAGCACCGTCTGCACTTTGCTCTTCAGGCCAGGGTGCTGCCGCTGCTCCTCTGTGGAATGCGGGTGCCTGTCACCGTCCGACCCCACACCCCGCACTGGGCCTCCCGGCTCCCTGACCCACCCTCCACAGGACAAGCCTTTCGCCCCGTGCAGCCCTCCTCCCATCACAACCTCCTGGTCCCCACCCCTGCTCTGAGTATCTGCAGGGCACCAGGCGCTCTGCCTCCAGGACTCACTGCCCGGCCCACAAGCCTCCCACTGGTGCAGGCCAGAACCCCGCAGCCGCGCAGCCGCGCAGTGGCAGGAGTCGGCCTGTCTCCTCTCTTTGCTGCACACCCGCCTCTAGTCCCTCAGTTAGCCCTGGCAACTCCTTCTGCCAAGCATATTCCCAGCTGAGCACCTCTCATCACCCCCATGGACCCACCCGGGCTCAACGACCACCTCCCTCTTTCCAAGAAGTTTCCTTGCCAGACTCCTGGCTTCTGTTCTTTTTTTTTTTTGGAGTGGAGTGCAGTGGCACGATCTTGGCTCACTGCAACCTCCGCCTCCCAGGTTCAAGCGATTCTCCTGCTGTGTAGCTGGGATTACAGGCGCACACCACCACACCCATCTAATTTTTTGCGTTTTTAGTAGAGACAGGGTTTTGCCATGTTGGCCAGGCTGGTTTTGAACTCCTGACCTCAAGTGATCCGTCTGCCTCAGCCTCCAAAAGTGTTGGGATTACAGGCGTGAGCCACCACGCCCAGCCCCGTTCTTTTTGTTTGTTTGTTTTTTGAGACAGAGTCCAGCTATTCGGGAGGCTGAGGCAGGAGAGTTGCTTGAACTCAGAGTTGGAGGTTGCAGTGAGCCGAGATCGTGCCACTGCACTCCAGCCTGGGCAACAGAGCAAGACTCCATCCCAAAACAAAACAAAATAGCAACAATGAAAAACCCTGCAGTAAGCTGGGCACGATGGCTCATGCCTGTAATCCCAACATTTTGGGAGGCTGAGGTAGGTGGATTGCTTGAGCCCAACAGTTCAAGACCTGCCTGGGCAACATGGCAAGACCCTTTTTTTTTTTTTTTTTTGAGACAGAGTTTCATTCCTGTTGCCCAGGCTGGAGTACAATGGTGCAGTCTTGGCTCACTGCAACCTCCACCTCCCTGGTTCAAGCAATTCTGCCTCAGCCTCCCAAGTAGCTGGGATTACAGGCACCTGCCACCACACCTGGCTAATTTTTATATTTTTAGTAGAGACGGGGTTTCACCACATTGGCCAAGCTGGTCTCAAACTCCTGACCTCAGGTGATTCACCTGCCTCGGCCTCCCAAAGTGCTGCGATTACAGGCATGAGTCACCACGCCCGGCCAAGACCCTTTCTTTCTTTCCTTTCTTTCCTTTCTCTCTTTCTTTCTTTCTTTCTTTTTTTTTTTTTTCTTTCTTTCGAGACAGAATCTCTCTCTGTCACCCAGGCTGGAGTGCAGTGGTTTGATCCTGGCTCACTGCAACCTCCACCTCCCGGGTTCAAGCGATTCTTGTGCTTCAGCCTCCCTAGTAGCTGGATTACAGGCACAGACCACCACACTGGGCTAATTTTGTATTTTTAGTACAGGCAGGGTTTTACCATGTTGGTAGGCTGGTCTTGAACTCCTGACCTCAAGTGATTTGCCCGTCTCAGCCTCCCAAAGTGCAGAGATTACAGGCATCTGTGCCTGGCTGACCCCTTCTCTACAAAAAATAAAATTAGCCTGGCACAGTGGTGTGTGTCTGTAATCCCCACAATTTGGGAGGCCGAGGTGGGAGTTACGCTCTTGTTGCCCAGGCTGGAGCACAATGGCACGCTCTGGGCCACCAAGCAAGACCCTGTCTCAAAAAAACAGAAAAGCAAAACAAAACAAAAACACAAACAAATTTGTACAGCGGCCTCTCGTCAGGTTTCCCTGCCTGGCTGATGAGGGCTCTCCAAGGGGCCCCTTCGAACCTGGCCAGCCTCACCCCTTCCCTGTACCCTTGGGGTGACAGCCACACTGACTCCTGTGGCTTGTTTGGCGCTGCCATGCCCTCTCTCCCCTCTGGGCATTGACACATGCGGTTCTCTCTGTCCAAGATTCCCTTCCCTGCCTCACTTCTCTTAGGGATCTCCGCTCATCCTTCAAGGCCCAATCTAAAGGCTACCCCCTCAGGGTGCCCACAGCATGCTGCTTCTCTGTGCTGCCCCTGCCACACAGCCTCTGTCCTGACCAGGCTCTGTAGGATGGCAAGAGTGAGGACTGACAGCTGTCGGCCTCCCCGGAGCCTGGCCCAGACAGAGGAATGTGCGTGGATGGAATGGACGGGCCTCGCAGGGCTCACCCTGCATGTAGATGACCAGCAGCGTGTAGCAGATGGTGAGCGGCGTCCAGAACCGCACGGCCTCCGAGGTGGTCAGGAAGTCCTGGTTGATGAGGGCCACAGCTGCCAGGTCACCCACGGCAAAGGCCACAGCCAGGGCGCGGCCCAGCAGCTGGGGGAGGCCGTGCGCACCGGCCAGCAGGCCCAGGCACACCCCACAGTAGTGCTGGCTGCTGTGCAGCTCGTAGAGGCGGCAGACGTGGCGGCGGAGGCGCCGGGCACCCAGACCCAGCAGCGTGGCCAGCCCGAGGCTCAGCAGCAGGTTCAGCGTGCGGTGAGGGGCGCCCTCCTGCAGGAAGCTCAGGCCGCAGGTCAGCCCGCAGCCCAGCGAGTACTGGCACAGCAGGTAAAGCTGCAGCCTCTCGGCAGCACCCCTGGAGCCCTGCGGGGAGCGCAGAAGAGGGGCCAAGATGTGGGGGCTGCCTCACTACAGCTGCTGCCCGCCACAGGAGGCCGGAGCCTGAAGGGACCTTGGGGATGGTTCCTGAAGGGGCCACATCGGCGTCAGATAAAGCCCTAGGGGATCATCTCTCTCATCTTAATTTCTATCGTGTTTTTTTTTTGAGACAGTCTTGCTCTGTCACCCAGGCTGGAGTGCAGTAGCTCAATCTCCGCTCACTGAAACCTCCGCCTCCTGAGTTCAAGTGATTCTCCTGCCTCAGCCTCCTAAGTAGCTGGGATTACAGGCATGTGCCCCCGCGCCCAGCTAATCTGTTTGTTTTTGTTTTTGTTTTTGTTTTGATAGGGTTTCTCCATGTTGGCCAGGCTTGTCTTGAAATCCTAACCTCAGGTGATCTGCCTGCCTCAGCCTCCCAAAGTGCTGGGATCACAGGCGTGAGCCACCGCGCCCGGCCTCCAATCACGTCTTAGTACTTGGGGCCCATCTGTTAGCTGAAGGGTGGTGGTTCAGAGACCTGGGTCCAAAGCCTGACTCTACCTGTTGACCATAAACAAGCCACATACTCTCTGAGCCTTAGTTTCCCCATCTGTGAAATGGGGAATCAGAGCAAACCTTTACTCCTGTGGCTGTGAGGATTCCATAATGCACACGGCGCACTTGGTGCAGGGCCTGGCATTCGGGAAGCCGGATCTACAGGAGCTGTCACTCTTGTCTTCTTGGGACTGGGACTGTATCCCCTGTGAGTGTTGCTGCTTCAGCAGCCAAACCCGAGGGCGCAACCTGCAGCCTCTGTTCCCAGTCTTACGGAAAATACAGCGAACAGGCTGGGATGCTGGACCTGGGCTCTGCCGCCCACGTTCCGGTGGTGAGTCCGGGCTCTGGGCTGGGGAGTGATCCACCCACTGCCTTCCCAGAGGCCTCACCTTGTCCAGTGACAGCAGCGTGGACACAGCCCGGAGGGAGAACTCGAGCACCACGAGGGCAGCCACCCGGGACCCCACGACCGTCAGAAACAGGGCCAGCCCTGCCAGGTGCACTGTTTCCAGCGAGGCCCACTGGGCCCGAAGCCGCTCCTTTTCGGGCCACCGCTGTGGGTCACTGTGGGGACAGAATGGGTGTGGGCAGGGGTGCAGAACTGCCACCCTCGACCCCTGGTGGGGGTCCCTGTACCCCCAGCCACATTCCCTGTGGGGATGAGGTGGGAACTCACTTGGCACAGCCCACGAAGAAGTAAACTTTCAGGAGGCTGTTCAGGACCAAGACTCCAAGGGCCCCGATCAGGCCTGAGGGGGCAGGAGGGAGGCAGCAAGGCAGCGAGGTAGCATGCAGGGGTGTTAAGAGGACAGGCTTGGTTGGTAGGGTCAGAGGAGGGGGCGGCCAAGGGTCAGGGGTGGCGGGAGACCAGGTGGGTGGGGTCCACCCTGCACTGCAAAGAGCTGGAAGGGGGCAGGGCCAAGGCAGGAATGGGGCGAGGTGCTCACCTTGCAGGAGGGAGTGGAGGAGGCTAGAACCCCACTCGAGGGAGGGGAGGCCGGGGAGCCAGGAGGGGAGGGATGGCAGGGAGAACATGGCAGCCCCGGAACGGCCAGGTCTGCGCAGGGGCAGACCAACGTCACTGGGCAAAGGTGTCAGTGGAGGGAAGGAGAGAGGCTGGGAGGGGTCAAAGGCCCAGGGGAGGGGAGGGGAGGGGAGGGGAGGAGAGCCAGGGGTGTTAACCCTTTGAGGCCCAGAAGGGCAAGGTCCCAGCTCCAAGGGACAGGTGTCTCTGGGCTGGTCTGTGGTCTCTGTCCCTGCTAAAAGTCTGGCATCCACTTTACTTGAAATCTTCCTTGAGGGAGGCCAGGCGCAGGGGCTCACACCTGTAATCCCAGCACTTTGGGAGCCCGAGGCAGGTGGATCACGAGGTCGGGAGTTCGAGACCAGCCTAACCAATATGGTGAACCCATCTCTACTAAAAATACAAAAAATTAGCCGGGCATGGTGGCAGGCACCTGTAATCCCAGCTACTCTGGAGGCTGAGGCAGGAGAATGGCTTGAACCCAGGAGGCGGAGGTTGCAGTGAGCCGAGATCACGCCACTGCACTCCAGCCTGGGCAACAGAGCAAGACTCTGTCTCAGAAAAAAGAAAGAAAGAAATCTTCCTTGAGGGCTTGGACCACCCAATGCCCCTTCGAAGCCCCAGGCTCCATCTGTCTTGCCCAGCCTTAGGTGTGGGTCCTTCCTCTCGCAGCCTGAAGTGTGGGCTCTGCTCCTTCAGCCCAGGGTCTGAGAGTAGGGACTTTATCCCCCAGTAGCTAGAGATCAGCGGTGCCCTCTCAGCCTGAGGTCTGGGGCTGTCTTCCCCCACAGCCAGAGGTCAGCTCTGCCTGCTTTTTGTAAGGTCTGGTTCCAGCTTCCCAAAGCCTTCCGTCCGACTCTGACCCGGTGTGGAATCTCCCGCAGCCCGAGCCCACCTGAGCCTTCTCCTCCCACAGACCGGGGCCGCACTTCTTGATGCTCCTCCCTGGTCCACTAGGTGGCAGACCTCACCTGGGTCCAGCAGGGCGGGGCTGAACAGGTGGATACAGCTCCCATCCTGCTTTCACAAACAGAAAGGGCAGAGGGAGCAGAAGGTGGGGGTCAGGGATGGGGGAGACTGAGACTGGCCACAGAGGGGGTTCGCTGAAGTAAACAAAATATAAAACTTTATTGGTTTGGAGTGTGCAGTAGCAGGTGTTCCTGGGAACAACCCTTACAGACTTGGGGTGTGGCTGGGAGGGCAGGTGGGGCTGCTTGGCAGCAGTGCTGCCCCTGCCAGGGAGTTGGTGTCCATCTCTGCAGTGTGAAGGTTTGTGCAGCGTTGAGAGCACACCCATGGGGAGTGGTGCTCAGTCTAGAGAAAGGGCCCAGGGTCTGCTGCTGGCCCTGCCACATTGCTTCCCTTTCCCGGGCCTCAGTACCCTCATCTGAACAATGGGCACTCAGAGTTCCTTTCAGGCTTGTCAGGATAGGTGCAAATGCCCACAGTGCGGGCTGCTGGGAGGCCTTCCGTGAGAGCCCTTAGATGATGTTGGCTGAGGCCGGGCTTGGTGGCTCACACCTGTAATCCCAGCACTTTGGGAGGCTGAGGTGAGCAGCAAGGTCAAGAGTTCAAGAGGCACCTGGCCGACACAGTGAAAGCCCATCTCTACTAAAAATGCAAAATTAGCTGGGCATGGTGGTGCACGCCTGTAGTCCCAGCAACTCGGGAGGCTGAGGCAGGAGAATCACTTGAACCTGGGAGGTGGAGGTTGTGGTGAGCCGAGATTGCACCACTGCACTCCAGCCTGAGCAACAGAGCGAGATTCCATCTCAAAAAAAAAAAAAAAAAAGAGAGATGATGGTGGCTGAACTGCGGCCCCTGCAAATGTGCATGTTGAAGTCCTACCCCCTAGTAGCTCAGGATGTGACTGCATATGGAGATAGGCTCTTGACAGAGATAATTAAGTTAAAATTGGGCCAAATGAGGTGGCTCATGCCTGTAATCCCAGCACTTTGGGAGGCTGAGGCCAGTGGATCACTTGAGGTCAGGAGTTCGAGACCAGTCTGGCCAACATGGCGAAACCCCGTCTCTACTAAAGATACAAAAATTAGCCAGGTGTGGTGGCAGGCACCTGTAGTCCCAGCTACTCGGGAGGCTGAGGCAGGAGAATTGCTTGAACCTGGGAGGCCAAGGTTGCAGTGAACTGAGATCATGCCTCTGCACTCCAGCTTGGGTGACAGAGCGAGACTTCATCTCAAAAAAAAAAAAAAAAAAATTAAAGTGGGGTCATGAGGGCGGGCCCTAAGCCAACATGATTTGTGTCCTTATAAGAGGAGGAGATCAGGACCCAGACGCACATCAAGGGACCACCATGTGCAGACACAGGGAGAAGGCGGCATCTGCAAGCCACGGACAGAAGCCTCCGAAGAAACCAGCCTGCTGACAGCTTGGTCTCCAGCATCCAGCCTCCAGAACCGTGAGAAAATACATTCCTATTCTCTAAGTTGCCCCGTATGTGGTTCTTTGCTACAGATGCCCCGGCAAATAAGGCAGGTGACGATGCCACAGCCTCCTGGTGCACCCCAGCTCTTGCCATGGCACAGCGACCCCTACGAGCAGTCCGGACCCATGGGTCTGTCACAGTCACGCACTTGTCAAGCGCATAGGTCTGGGGTGAGCAGGGCTAAGCTCCAGTCTTGGCTCTGCCACTTCAAAATTGTGTGGCTGTGGTCAAAGCCACATCACCACTCTCAGCCTTGGCTTTCTGATGGTAAAAGAGGTAAAAGTGCCGGCCTCGCGCTGCTGTCTGAGGCCTAAGTGAGCCGATGTGTGTAAGTTACTGGGCCTATGCCGTGTGCATGCCTGCAGCAGTTGCTATAACTGAGTAAGGCTCTGGGATGCGGTGACCCAGTACACTGTACAGAGAAGGAAGAGAACTGTCTGGAAGATAGAATGGGTGGTAACTTGGAGTGGATGCTCTGGCCCTGGGTGGGCCAAGGGGCTGGGTGGACCAGAGCTGTCCACACTCTCCCGGGGCCTCTGGCAAGGCCCGGGCCCATGCCCGCCCTGGGACAGCCAGTTGTGCTGGAGCAGGCCCTCACTTCCGGCCAAGTGCCGAGCCATGTCAGGATGTGGGAGTGAGGGCCGCTGTCTAGGTGCCCTGGTGCTGGGCCCGCCCAGCCAGTTTCCGAAGCTCGTCCCAGAAGAGCATGCTGAGGATAGTATGGGGACCCAGGCGCAGGTAGGCGGGGCCCAGGCCCTTGTAGAGCGCCAGGGGTCCCTCTTGCCGCCAGATCTTCACCATGCAGTCGGTGAGGCCCCCATAGAGCTGGCCCTGGGGAAACACGTGGGGTGAGTGTTACTACAGGGGCCGTGAGGCCCTGGCTGGCACCACGTCTCGGCACACGGGTCAGTTTCACCCCCACACACCCTGTGGACAGCACGTCTGTAGTGGGCACATGTGTGAGGCTGCGGTGCCATGAGAAGGCTGTAGGATCAGGCCTGGATTCCAGTTCTGGCTCCCCCACTTACCAGCTGGGGGAACTCGTGCAAGTCACTTGATCTGTCTGAGCCTCAGTTTCCTCATCAGGAAGATGAATGTGATTTTAAGGATGGAATAAAATCCAGATGTGAAAGTGCTTAGCCTGTGCTTGGGACATGGGAGCTCAGCAAACAAGCCCAGTTAATGTGTTTGCAGGCATGGCCTGTGTCTGCATGTCTCTGGCTGTGCATGTGTGAGAGTGTGTGAGTGTGTGTGTGTGTGAGTGTGTGTGTGTGTGTGTGTGGGGGTGCTCCCAGCTCCCCACATCCTCCCCTAGACCCACTCCTGCTCACCCTGCCAGCTCTGTCCACCGGCTGATTGTATAGCCGTGTGCTGACCACATCGAAGGGGGTCATGGCGACAACCACGGCTATGCTGCTAATCATGCCTCCCGCCAGGGCCACCAGCCAGCTGTCCTCCGGGAGCCACTGTGGGGATGGCACAGGTGGGGACCCCTGCATCTGCCCTCTACCCACCCACGTGGTGCCCTCCCGGCCTCCTACCACACAGGGGCTGAAAGGGCTGCAGAAAGGGGAGCAGATGGGGCCCCTCCCGCCATCCCCCAGCCCTGCCACCCTGAACTCCTTCTCAGCTTTGAGGTTCCCTGCTGACCCCCCACTCCTGCTGGTACCAAGGGTCAGAGTCACGACTCTGAGGGCAGAGGCCCCATCTGTTGCCACCCCCTGGTCTTCCCCGTGTGGAAGGAGGCAGGTGGTCTCCCTCAGTCCCGTGTGTCTCTGTGGGTAGGCACAGGTGTCCCCAGCTCCTCACCTGTTGCTTCTGCACCCAGGCCTTGGCAGAGGTGAAGGTGGCCAGCTGGGCAGCTGAGCCCACCATGACTCGGGGCACAGCCCCACCAACGCCCTGCCACAGCCCCAGCAGCCCTTGCTGCCGCCAGATGGTCTCCAAGGCACCCAGGACAGTCTGTGGGGAGAGGGCATGGGGTCACTGGCCACCCGTGCCCAGGCTGGGAGCATGCCCAATCCGTGCCCCCAGGGAGCTCTGAGAGTGGCAGGCCTCACCTGGTGATTGTGCTGGTGTCCCACAGCCATCGCGGCCACTGTCTGGGCTTGTAGCTGTGTTTTGATCTGTAGGAGCAGAGGGGACATGGGGTGTGGGGATGGAGCCTGGGAGAGCCAGGATGAGCTGTGTGTGTTGAGGGCGCCCCCGCCCCCGTGCCCCTGAAACTCAGAGCTCTGTGGTCCCTAGCCTGAGGCTTAGGGGTCATGTGAAATAGGGTTGAGGTGCAGCTCTGGGGTTGGCCTGGGTTTTGCATCTCAGTGTGACTTGGAGCAAGTTACTTAACCTTCTCTGGACTTCAATTCTGTCACGGTTGCAGTTAATGTGTTTGCAGGCATGGCCTGTGTCTGCATGTCTCTGGCTGTGCATGTGTGAGAGTGTGTGAGTGTGTGTGTGTGTGAGTGTGTGTGTGTGTGTGTGTGGGGGTGCTCCCAGCTCCCCACATCCTCCCCTAGACCCACTCCTGCTCACCCTGCCAGCTCTGTCCACCGGCTGATTGTATAGCCGTGTGCTGACCACATCGAAGGGGGTCATGGCGACAACCACGGCTATGCTGCTAATCATGCCTCCCGCCAGGGCCACCAGCCAGCTGTCCTCCGGGAGCCACTGTGGGGATGGCACAGGTGGGGACCCCTGCATCTGCCCTCTACCCACCCACGTGGTGCCCTCCCGGCCTCCTACCACACAGGGGCTGAAAGGGCTGCAGAAAGGGGAGCAGATGGGGCGCCGATGTGTGTAAGTTACTGGGCCTATGCTGTGTGCATGCCTGCAGCAGTTGCTATAACTGAGTAAGGCTCTGGGATGCGGTGACCCAGTACAC